TGTTGTTGCTGCTGCTGCTGCTGCTGCTGCTGCTGCTGCTGCTGCTGCTGCTGCTGCTGCTGCTGCTGCTGCTGCTGCTGCTGCTGCTGCTGCTGCTGCTGCTGCTGCTGCTGCTGCTGCTGCTGCTGCTGCTGCTGCTGCTGCTGCTGCTGCTGCTGCTGCTGCTGCTGCTGCTGCTGCTGCTGCTGCTGCTGCTGCTGCTGCTGCTGCTGCTGCTGCTGCTGCTGCTGCTGCTGCTGCTGCTGCTGCTGCTGCTGCTGCTGCTGCTGCTGCTGCTGCTGCTGCTGCTGCTGCTGCTGCTGCTGCTGCTGCTGCTGCTGCTGCTGCTGCTGCTGCTGCTGCTGCTGCTGCTGCTGCTGCTGCTGCTGCTGCTGCTGCTGCTGCTGCTGCTGCTGCTGCTGCTGCTGCTGCTGCTGCTGCTGCTGCTGAGGATGAAGACGAGGACGAGGCCTGTGCTAGGTGTTCCCGCCACGGGCCGCTGCCACTTGATCGAAGCTCAATGATTTCTTCATCTCCGTCATCGACAACGCACCACCCTCCTGCTGATAGAAGGAAGCGCAGGTGTTAGCTATATCGGGGCAGTTATCGGCGAATAAACCCTCGTCTATCCGTCGGCAAGTCACCGGATGGCCGCGAGCGGGTTATTAAAAGTTGTCCGCTAGGGGAAAAGCGGGTGAACGCGAAGCGATTCGTTAAAACTTGTTGGAACTTTTTAAAAGCTCGTAAAGGAGTTATCGTCGGATCACGTGGCTCAACGTATCGAATCCGCGTCCACTTTTATTACCCTCGTGTTCGATAGAGGTACTTGTACCGCTCGAAAGAGTTCCGAAAGTCTTCCGCGTGTTCTCTCCAAGCACCGATCGCTTCCTCTCCATTTATTCGCGCCAATTTTTTCGACTACGTTCGCGTACTTCCCTTCGAACGCGCTTAGATTCTATTTATCATAAAACGATCGAATACGCACGCAGCGGGAGTTCCGATTACGTTCATCTAATATCAAGTTATAGTAACAGCGATATGATTTGAGAAAAGTAGCTTTTATATTCTATAGAATTTCTTTTTAGGCGAAAGGAAGAGCATCATCGACGAGCTACCGAGAAATTTGAATAGCCGCGATAAATATTCCGCCTCGATTGTATGACGTCCACAAGCAGCATACCGAAGCACTGATTAAAGTATCGGAAGAGGAAACGAACGGAATCCGAGACGAGCACGAATATCCATCTTTTCCTACTCACCTTTTTTTCTTCTTAACAAAGTAAACGCGAACACCGGAAATCCGATTCGAACGTAGTTACGGGGACGTAGCAGTCGACAAAACTCGATTGTGTCGCTATTTCACCGGGTTCGGGTCGTAATTAAGCTCGAACGAATAAATGAACGAAAGGGAAACGTAAAGCGACGAAACGAGAACGCGGTGTAGTTCTAAGAATTCATTTCGAGACTGCTTTATATTTCTGTAAATTGTCAACTCCGAGACATCGTATCTTTTGGAAAGAGGAAACAGTTGCATCTAAAAGATGGTTCGCAAGAAAGATAGTTGTTAGCTTTTACCGTTCTAACGAAATACACGAATTTAATGAAATCGAATATAACCGAATAATCGGGAGAGAAAAATTGAACGCGTTAATACGACCGAAAATTATATCTACAACATTTTAATGGCTTGATCGTATTAAATTCCTGAGGTCATCGAGCGCGTTAATTAACTTCGGTTTTCATCGCGTATCCCAAACATCTTTTTTCATCGTTCCCCGTAAAATATGTCGTACTCTATCCGCGCACGAACCAATCGATAACGCCAATTATGAAACCGAAAGCGAGAGAACGCTTCCTAGCGAGCCTCGAAATTCCATTTTAATCTGTTTCCCTTTTACAAGAGGCGATATCGCGAGGCGGTAGGAATATCGATGAGATTTAAACTGGCGGAAGTATCTAGGTGAACTGAAACTGCTTCTTCCGTAGTCCTGGCCGTGCAGTCGAAGGACCGATAGCTGGATACACGGAAATCGGGGCTTCGAAAATGTGTGACTCAGCCTGGAAAAAATCACTTCCGCCACGATCCGGAGCACCATCGACGCGAGTGTTCGAGGACGGTGGAACGTTTCCAATCTTGTTTAACGAACACTCTATTCTCTTTTGCGTACCGAACCTATATTTGCCGGATTGTAACCATTCACCAGGCCCATACAATGAAATTTTACGAGCTACTCGATGTTACGATATCGTATCGATATTCATGCGGGACAGGACGGTATATTCCTTTATCCGGACAAAATAGTTTTCTCTATGCGCGTCTAAATCGGACAACCTCCGCGACGTTTAACGCGGGATAATTTGAGAAACGCAACAAAGAATGCAGATTTTTCTCAACGATTCCGTGAATATTTCGTGATCGATTGGCACGCGGCAACCCGACCCAAGGCATCCGCCGAAACTGCAGCGTCGAGTTTCGAGCGATTTCGCGTCGTCGCGCAGGGTCGTTATTATAATCGTTCAACGGCAATTCCAAGCATGCAATCAAGTATATGTATACCCACACAGACATACGCAAGTGTATACTGCAAATTAGAATGTACATCGAAAGTGAAGCGTACACGTTCGCGATCGATTCGCTAGAAGCAGAATAATGGACCGTGCCAAAATGCATAACACGCATACATCAGATATCTTTGTACGAATAAATAAAGTTGACGAACGTTAAACGTGGAACGGTAACCCGTACGGTGTACAACAAATACACATGGGAACGAGGCACAAAAGATAAAAAACAATTTTCCCGCAAGCACACTCATCCTGAAATACTCCCTTCTCCTGTTCAGCCATGGTACACGTTCTCGTCTCGTTGATAAAAAAAATACGTATATATACGCGTACATACAGGGGCTGTATGGAGGCTGTGCATCGATCACGGTAATCGAATTCTTGAAAATTATTTGCTCGATGATTACGGGTCGTTGGTGAATGGGATGCGCCGATCGAATCGGTTCGAATATCATCCTCGTCGAGGATCGGATTACCGTGACAACAGGCACAGCTCCGCGACCAATCGATGGCTTCTCTTCCAGGTGCCTCCCTCGTCCGTTCGTTTCGCAACTTTGTCCGTTGCGATTCTTTCGATCGACATTCACCTGACAGTTGATATAACGATAAATCAACAAACCCTGCGGGCAAACATCGAATTGTTTGTATTCCCGTGCGCTTGCATGCCACGCGAAATTCGATTCCAGACGTTTGCCTGCCTGTTGCGCTACTTTTGCAATCGTGTCTTCTGCTATATCGCGGCATCGAACGGCAACGAAATATTAACTGTACATTCTACGATTTACTTACTACTTTTATAGAAAATTAGCAATGTCGAGGATATACAGATATTTTTGTCGTTCGATCGTATAATCGTGTCGCGCAAGAAATTAAAATCGAAATTTTCTCAGCAGCCCTAGGTCGAAATCGCGGTACGGTTCAATTCGCGAGCTTCCGTCTTCGATACTCCCGATGTTCATTTTCGTTCGAACGACTTCCAATCGCGTACCGTGAACTCGTACAGTTTTAGCGAGATCGTTGCTCTCGAAACAGGATCTTACCGACCAATCTCGTCCCGCACAGCGGTTAATTATATTTCTTTCGAATTCTAGTGACAATGTTTTGTACAACTACGTAAGACGTCAGGATCGCGACAAAGATGTCTGTCGATTTCGCATGAAAATATTTCGTAGCGTGCATAGGTTAAAAGTCTCGAGGGAAAGAGAGGCCATCGAAAGTGATCGCTCGCCCGTCGTGAGGGACAGGACTTACACCATTTATTCGTGGTAATTCGATGCTCGGTATGTAGGTGGTCTCCTCGTGGCCGGTCGAACAGTATCGCGTTCTCCTTCTGCTGGCACGTGGACTGCAACGACCGCACGGCACCGCGGCG